TCCATGAAGTAGTGTCACATGTGCTTTTCTGGGCCACAGAACTGGGTGCGAATTGGGTTCCAATTGGCCTTCGCTATTTTACACACAGCCACACGCGCACAGGCACAGACACAGACGCGGGCGCTCCATTCCAGCGGTGCCGGCCCTGGTGCTTGCGATCTGGAGAAGCTGGGCTCTGGTTTCTGTCGTGGATAGTCGGTTGTGGCTCAGGTGCAGCTCCTGCAAGGCTCTGCAAGGTGTCGGCGTGCTTGTCGATGAAGGCCGCGAGTGGTTGTAGGAAACTGGACATGATAAGTGCTCTTGGACACTTGCAAGTGCCTGTCAGAGTCATCTCCTCGACCTATACCTAGCAATTTTGCTCAAAGCCGACCCGTCAGAGTCAATTATGGAGGATATCAGGGTCAAGCTCCGTCAGTCTGGGGCCGGAAGAAAGCTGAGCAATTATTTGCTCATGATGTGGTGCAGGAGCTTTGACGACCAGTATCAGAACCTCGGCTCATTATTTCAATAATTAATTGTCCCACCTCTAGTAATTTTAATTAAAAGCTATAGATTACATTGAAATTACGGGTGTTTCGGTCTGCTTTCATGTGTCACAAATTTAAGGGAGCTGACTTTGTCCAACTACCTCGAGTACAGAATGTACTTCTTCGAGGAGGAGATTCCCAGATTGTCCTCAGAGTCAGCCGTTACCTCCAGACAGAGAGAGCTGTTCTGGCTTCGACGTGTTGTGAGTCTGTGTCAGTGACATACAGTGTCACTTGCATCTGTTTCCAAGGGTTAATTAAACCCAGCTGGCGACGACGTGTCATGACACATAGATCGACGAACGCTGGGAGGGTGAAAAAAACGCATGCCAAGACGGTCCAGGATCAAGAAGTACAGCGCTATCACTCGTTGCTTTTGGCTTTGCGAGGTCTTGGTCTTTCGATCTTGGGTGAAGATCTTCTCTGGAAATGGACATGTCCGAGGCAGGAATCACTATTATTATTGCTGTGTTAGGATTGGTGGTTGAGTACCGCTGCTGCCGCTGCTACGACGACTAGTACTATTATTAGTTAGCACTCTAAAATTTATATATAATAATAATAATAACCCTTCATCTGCTTTCAACCCTAGCTTACAGCCCTAAGCACACTTCCTATGCACGCTTTACCGCACTCGCCCCAAGCTGTCTTTTTTTGCCGAAGAAGTGCTGGGTGCGAATTGGGTGCGGATTGGCCCTTGCTACAGGAAGAGCCAATAGTGCCACATGTGGGCCACATGACATATGCTGGGTGCAAATTGGTGCCGGCTAGATTAAAGCGACAGTGAAGTAGTCCCACGTGTGCGTATTATGGGCCACATATGGGCCACATATAGGCTGGGTGCGAATTGGGTGCGAATTGGCATTGCCTACGACAATGGACAGTTTACAGACACACACACACACACAGACATGCACAAAGTGTTGGGTGGCTGCACTTTGCCCCCAGCAGTGTGTCTGGTTTGTTGGGCCACAGAAGGCTGGGTGCGAACTGGGTGCGAGTTGGCTAACGCTGTATATTCCACCACACATTCTTATGCAGTGCGGTGCTGGGTTGTGAATCGGGTGCGAAATTGGACCTGCTAATGCTGGGTGCGATTTGGGTGCGGATTGGCCCTGGCTATATTGCGAGGCATCATTTCGTGTCACCTGTGCTTTTTTCGACAAAGCTGGGTGCGAATTGGTTGTGGATAGACAATCAACAGAATCAACAGAGTCATGAATAGGGCCACAGATATGCCGTGTGCGAATTGGGTTTGAATTGGCATTGGATGCAGTTCAAGCAGTGTCACGTGTGTGTTTGTTGGTTGGGTCACAGAATGCTGGGTGCGAATTGGGTGCGGATTGGCATTGCTTACGACAATGCAGAGTTTACACACACACACACACACGCACACACAGAGACATGCACAAAGTGTTGGGTGGCTGCACTTTGCCTCCAGCAGTGTTTGGTTTGTTGGGCCACAGAATGCTGGGTGCGAACGGGGTGCGAGTTGGCTAATGCTGTATAGCCACACATTATGAATCATTCTTACGCAGTGTCACGTGTGTTGATGTGGATGGGTGCTGGGTTGTGAATCGGGTGCGAAATTTGACCTGCTAAGACTTTGAAATGCTGGGTGCGATTTGGGTGCGGATTGGCCCTGGCTATATTGCGACTCATCATGTCGTGTCACCTGTGCTTTTTCGGCAACAGCATGCTGGGTCATTAATAGGCTTAGGGCCACAGATATGCAGGGTGCGAATTGGGTACGAATTGGAATTGGATGCAATTCAAGCAGTGTCACGTATGTGTTTGTTGGTTGGGCCACATAAAGGCTGGGTGCGAATTGGGTGCGAATTGGCATTGCCTACGACAATGGAGAGTTTACAGACACCCAGAGACACGCACGATGTGTTTGGTGACTGCACTTTGCCCCCAGCAGTGTTAGTTTGGTTTGTTGGGCCACAGAATGCTGGGTGCGAACTGGGTGCGAGTTAGCAAATGCTGCATATTCCAACATTCTTTTGCAGTCTCACATGTGTTGTCTGTAGATGGGTGCTAGGTTGTCAATTATTGTGAATCGGCTGCGAAATTGGACTTGCTAAGACTTTGAAATGCTGGGTGCGATTTGGGTGCGGATTGGCCCTGGCTATATTGCGAGGCATCACCTCGTCTCACCTGTGCTTTTTCGGCAGAATGCTGGGTGCGAATTGGTTGTGGATAGACAATCAACAGAATCAACAGAGTCATGAATAGGGCCACAGATATGCCGTGTGCGAATTGGGTAGGAATTGGCATTGGATGCAATTCAAGCAGTGTCACGTGTGTGTTTGTTGGTTGGGCCACCGAATGCTGGGTGCGAATTGGGTGCGGATTGGTTATTGCTACATCTTCCACACATTCTTGCACTGTGTCGACAAGTGCTGACACTAGAGGACCAGACAACGTTGGACCTGCTATGTTATTAAGTTTAAAAGTTTAATAAACCGCAGACATGCCGGGTGCAAATTGGGTGCGGATTTGCCTGGGTACATTACGTGACATCATGCAATGTCATATGTATTAGGCCACAGAAAGGCTGGGTGCGAAGTGGGTATTGAGTGGTGTCGGGTGGAATATCGAGGAATCAGAGCATACAGAATTTCTGGGTAGGGAGTTTTTGCGTGCAAATTGGCATTGTGAACTGACAAATTAAATTAAAAGTACGTAGTACTAGTCGTAGTAGAATAAGTACTGAAAATGCCGGCTAGATACACTTTGCAGTTAAAGTAGCGTCACACGTGTTTCTGGGCACGAGAAAAGATGTGACAGGCTTCTTTCTGGGCTGGTCTGGCCCGACCAGTGAGCAGGGACGTCAAGTCAATGCAGACGACGTCCTCATCGACCTGACGTCCCTGCTCACTCCTGGTGGCAGATGAATCAGAGGAGGCCCGGATTTTCGATTAGTATTCTGGGCAGAGCTACATATTCCACTTTATGCAGTGTCACATGTGCTGTCCATGTAAAGTGCTGGGATGTGTATTGGGTGCCAAATTGGCCATGTCTTTTTGCCTAATTGGCTGCGGGTTGGCCTTTGCTACATGACGAGATGTTACGAAGTGTCATGCTTGTTGGGCCACAGAATTGCTGGGTGCTCACTGGGGCAGATTGGTATTGAGTATTAGATCATGAAGTAAAATACTAAAAATAATAGTGTCACATGTTTTTCTTGATTGAGCCACAGAATTCGGGTTGGTGCAAACTGGCCCCATATTCCAGTGCCAGATATTCTCATGCAGTGTCACATGTCTTGTTTTAGTCATTGAATTGCTGGCTGCGAGTTGGGTGCCTCATGGTCATTGCTGCAAACTCCACACAATTGTATGCTACAGTTTTGCATGTGGTTTCTGATTCGGGACTCGTGCCGCAGTCAGTGCTGGGTTCCAATTTGGCCGCGGCTTGGCAGGCTTTGCTGCACTAATATTAATTGACCATTGAATCATAGCTATTGATGCAGAGACCAAGTTTGCAACGTTTCCATGCGTAGTTCGTAAGTGCTTCTTGCCAGGCAGTCAGCAACGTCTCCTTTCACTTCTGATCCAGTGAATGTGTGACGCCCAGGACTTGAACTTGCTCCGAAAGCATTCTTTTGAAAGCGTGGGTCATACCTTTTTGGACTAAGGTCGTGAGCTGCTGCTGAATGGCTATGACTCCCAGAGGGTCAGAGGTCCCCTGCATGGTTGATGCCTGATGCGAGGGTCTGGGTGATTGAAGAGCAGTACTAGAGAAGCAGAGCACAGTCCTGCATGACTCCAATGTCTGCGTGTGGATAGACTGGCAATTTCGGCTTTGCCTTCGCATTCGCAAGTCCCAGTGTCAGACACCATCCTGGCGCGATGTCCTTCTACGTTTGCTATCCTGCGTCTGTGTCCAAAGGGTCAGGGTCAGTCGACGGACAGAAGTTCTTCTTCAAGAGCGGGACAAAGATGCGCAACAAAGAGTTGGACGCCTTTTTTGATTCAAGGCCGCACCAGATTTATTAATAACATTAATTAATATGTGGATTGTCACGGTCATTATAGTGAATTGTATTTAAAACTACTTGTTTCAATGCTGCTTAATCTTCGGAGTCTTCGATGAAGTAACAAGTTCGAAATAAAGTGGTGAAACCCCGCAGCATCAGCTACTTCAGGAATGCACGCATGATGCTGCCCGGAAGCTTGGCATGTCATTGTCAATGGAAGGTGAGGTAAGAGTGACGCTGAATAGTGTCACTCCAAAACGGATGGATAGTCTCCGCGGCCCGAAAGACATTGTCAAGGTCACCCTCTCAGAGCAAGCTCAGCGTCTGTTCAGCAAGGGTCAACTGATTCCTGACGGCCCGTACGGTATCCTCACCGATGGAGCCTTGCAGGTGGAGGATAGCATCTTGAATTAAATCTAATATGTCATGACAATGACGCATTCGTTCAGTCAGAATTAGCCTTCAAGTCCAGTTGAATAATAGGCAGTATGGCTTACCAATTACGTCGTCTTGGCCAAGGCAGCTGGTCGGAAATCAGCGTCAAGAAAGGAGCGAAGCTTGAGTTTGCCAAGACAGAGGAGTGGGACATCGGACCTAGTGTTGAAGGGTCAGACGGCACTGCCCCTGGTGTCGCCTCAGCAGTTTTTGATGACCCCCCTGTGGCCTTCAACTACTTTGCGGTCACCGTCGGCAGAGTCACAACCAAGGACCAGATGACAGCAGCAGCCCTAGGGTCAGGGCAAGAAGACCAGTACTTGGAATTGTTCGATTTCTTGAAGATGAACACCAAGACACAGGACCTCCGTCAAAGACTCCGAGGTGGCTGCGCTGTCATATTGTTTGACAGCGCAGAGGATGCAGCGTCAGCAGCATGGTTGTTCATGAAAGGATGCATGCCTATCGTAAACTTGTTGAAGCTCAAGTTCAACATGCAAGACACTTTACTCGTCGCATCAGTGTCAGTGATCCCCTCGACCAGTTGCCTGGTTCCCTACAGCATCCTCCACGGCGAACCGTACCGTATCAACGACATCTTGAAGAGTGCCCAGGTTACTGGTTTGACAGGTCACTTGACCGTTGCGGGAGAGTCAAACTTCGTCGACCTGCGTCGGCTTCGTGCGGAGTCCGTGCAGTCCAGGCCATGCATGTTTCAACAATGTTATTCAGTGCCCGGCTTTGATGAGTCCAATTATTATATTAAGGTCTAACTAGAGTCTACAAGGCGACAAGATCTATGTTGATAGCATTTCTGCCTGTCCACGCAGGAAGCGTCAGTACATCGAAACACTGAAGAAGGAGATTGCCAAGGAGACTACAGGTTTGCCCGACGAAAAAGCCTCAGCGTCAGGTGAGGGTCAAGCCTGAATTGTTCTCCTCGGCACGCTAGCTACCCTGAGCTATAACTGTCAGTGTCAGAGTCAATACTGCACGACGTGTCCAAGTATCGTTGGCCATGGTGCTAGTGTGCCAGAGTCATTTGCGCCTGCTCGCCCAGTGTCCATGGGTAGGATAACTTCCGTCTAGTGCATCATGAAATGTAAATTGATAGCAAGTTCACGGTTTGATTATTGACCGGGCAACCTGGGCCAGCAGAGTCAGTGTCATCAAGCCTAGCAGCGCTGCTCGGAGAAAAAGGGGCAGAGTCAGAGCGGTGTTGTCTTCGTCCATTCGCACTGATTGACTGACACGTTCAACTTGATGGTGCCAGGCCGTCACCCGGTGAGAGCCAGAGTCAGATCGACAGAGTTGGAAAAAGTGTGCACACGGATTGCCAATTGTCTTCTGCATTAGTGTCAAGTCAGATGCCCTTAAAAACCACAGTTTAGGTAAATAATTTTCAACAGCCCCAAAGGACAACACAG